GAAGCGAACCCGACATTTTATTAACGACTTTTAGGTATATAGTGCTTTTGAAGATTTTCTATTTCAGTGGAGCTAGGGTTTCTCTCTACGGCTTGTTTTTCGTTGATTGTTTGTTAAAGGCGACACAGTGTCCGGGAAAATTTATTGCTCCACAAACACCGTCGTCTTCCTGGCATCCTGCTTTTGTGTTGCTAAACTTTGCCAATTAATCGATTTAGTTCCCGAAAAGAACGGTACGAACAAGCCGACGGGCTTGGTCTTAGTGTTGATGCTCAGCGTTTGAGTAACTATGGGTCTGATAATCTGTTGGATCCCAAAATCGGGTTCTCTCGGCTGGAAATTCGAAACTGCTCTTTTCATAACAAGACTTTTATAATCCAACCAGCAGACGAGACTGCAAAGGATTTCAACATCTTGGTGGAGAAATCCAAGATTAATAAGCGCATTTTGGCGTTGTGTACCGGTAATCATGAGCTATGCATGCGTAGAAGGAAGTCTGACTCTATAGAAGTGCAGTAGATGAAGATGCTGGAGAAAAGAGGACGCGAATTTACCCTGGTGACAGAGATTCCTTGAATCCTTCACAACAACAGGATTTAGACTGACGGCTGCATTTGGTTTCACCTTATTCCCGTGTTCCACAGACAAGTTATTAATAGCCGAAGCGACACCGCCGTTAACTATCTGGAAAAGTTTCGCGTCAGAATTTTCCATACAAAACCCGTGTTTAGGTGTCGAAAATGACATTACTTTTTTCCTTACATACGGCATAGTGGCTCACCCCGTTTTCCCGGTAACACATATTTTTTAGACTAGAGTTCCACTGTCTATTTCTTGAAGCAATTGATGGTCAACAGGTGTAGGCGGCCTTATAACTGGTAGTCAGACTGAATGCGACTCCAGATCCAGTTAAAGCCACCGAGGAGACCAGGTACGGTTCCTCAGTCTCCTATTGTCTATTGACTGGCGAGGTTGGCTCATGGGTGCTTATTTTGTAGTACTGAATATGTTGCGATGGTTAGCGAGGGAGATGTACCATGGGTGGCGCCGAGGACGCCGCTCAATAGAAGAGAGGGGCGGTGTAATACTTTGTTTATATGACCACATGGTGTATGGCGGTCATTTTAGGATTTGTCTGGCCCTTGTGCACGTGGGCTGGTCTTTGGGCGATGCCCAAGCCAATTGCCCTGTCGTCTTCAGAATACATATATCCAGCCTCGCTTACTGACTTCCTATATGGGCTAGAAATTCTGTGGACGCTACAGAGTTTATGTGCAAGTGTAGAATTTCAGGTATCCTAGGACTGATAACATTTTAGGGAAAAGTGTCCTCTGAATTTTTGCTTTTCGTCAAGTCCGCGCAACTTCTATTAGTTCTTTATAACAATTTGCTAAATTTTTATTTTTGTTCTGCAACACTCGCAAGTAGGACTAAATATGCGTCTATCAGAGCGCAATAATCAACTTGTTGATACACTTAAAAGCCATACTAATCATCAATCTATTAACGTATGTTTAAGTGCTATAATATAGCGTCTAAAACTTTTGTACGATGCTCCAAAACAATAGCTCCCGATTTCGATTTCTTTTATTCTAACCTTCGCTTTACCCGTCCTCACCATTGATTTTTATCGATGACCTCGTGGACAATTTGAATCGCCGAGTCGGGCATTTTTGCCTTTTGCAGTTCGAACATGTCATTTTTCTGGTGATTCTGAGTGTCGCTTTAATCCACGATGGAACCTAAGGCTAGTAATCAAGATCTGTACGTTATCCTTTTCGAATCTTAAGCATGTGGTGATGATGATAGCTTCACATGTCAGGATTTTGCCATTGCGTTCAATTCCCTTTCACATACCACCTGTTATGTACCCATTTGTCTGGTGAATTTTGTCTTACCTTTTTTATGTCCAAATTTTCATGCTTTTTAGCTACGAATGGGTGGAATTGTTGGAACCGTCTTCGCAAAAAGTGATTTTTGCCAATTTGGAATCTGGTGAAATTCGTTGGGACTCGCCTCCAAATGCGCGAGTGTTAGTTACAGATCATGGGATTTTTGCCGCATATTTCTGCTGCTCCAATGTTAATGTTTGTGCTGTCTTAATTCTTAGAAACTTTATGCTTCTCCTCCAAACGCATCATGACTGCTTTAGGGAGCACTTAATTTTTCTTGCAACAGCTGATTGTTTGGTGCACACAAATGGGTTTTATCACCTTACAATGATTGACAAACGTAATATTACTATTATGCAATGTTCAGGCGCCCGTTGGCTAGTGAACAATGGTGGGAGCTCTATGACGTGAATACCCAGCGCCACTACTATCACAATGTCCGCTCCGGCAAAACAGAATGGCATCGTCCCTCCTCTGGAGATGTGATCCCACTCTCAAATCTACAAGTACCATTAACTTAGATCCTATTTTCAAGATGGAATGCCATCAATACTATTTTACATTTCATTACTTATTTGCATAGCATGTTTGGACATGTTAGTTGAACAGATTAGTGGTCTGCTTCTCGGGCGCCTCCCGTTCTTTTTAATTCTGACATTTGTTGGGTGCTGCCTCCTTACAACGGAGCCCATTAACAGCTGCCGTTAATTCCTTGGTCTGCTTGGGTGCTTTTCACTTTCACTATTTAAGTAAACAACAAAGTTGAAAGGTGGTTGATTCATATTTCTTGATTTATCCTCTGTTCCCTCAAGATTTTAGTAGGTCTGCTAAATTACATATATTGCATTTTTCTAGTCTAACAGCCAATTTCTTACCAAATCGCACAGCACTCGTGTAATATCCAATTCTTGGTCATTGATGGTAATCGTCAGATTCTTCACTTGCTCTTTCCAAATAATTTGTTCATTGAAATGTGCTTGGCTATCATTATGAATATGATAAAGTCATCATTTAAGCCAGAAGGTTTGTGCTGATCGGATTGGGCGACACTTTCGATCGACAGTCATACACATTGTTTTTTATTTATCTGCTAAAGCATTACACTAGAAGGGTGATTTGATTTTAATCTGTAATCCCTTTGCCGGCTGCATTATCCACCTCTCTCCAGGCTAGGCCAATTTTGCTCTCGTTGGCGTTGGTACTATCTTTGCATGGGGAGGCGAATTGTAGCGTTATTGGTATACCATTCACCACTTTTGGATACCCACCTAGACCAGAGTACATTTCAGCCAATTTTACTATCATTGTATTTATTAAATCTTTTGAAGCATATTCTTTCTGCTTCGTATTGCCTACATCTTTTCAAATTTATGCTTCTCGTGTTAATCCCAAAGTACTTCCCTCTTATGCTCAATGACACATGCCACTTATACTTGTTACTTTTCCATCTTTTAGTTAATCAAGCAATTCGCCAATTCAGAAAGCAATATGGATAAGGTTGGTTTGAGTTCTATGACTTGTGGTCAATTTTTTGCCTCGCGGACTCTAGAATGCTCATTCGTGACAGGGAAGAGTTATAGCAAAGGTCTAGACTTTACTGCATTCTTCTAGTAACCTGCAAACACTGGTGTAACTTTAAGTAGTTATCACTTTTCATTGGTCTTTATAATTAAGCTCACGAGACGGAATTCCTGGAAAATGCCTCAATTCCGGTGAAAAGTTACCCTTTTCCACGGACTGAAGTAATATGGAACTTCCCAAGACAGCTTCACCAAGCTTGAGGATTTTTTCTATTTTGGCCCAATAATGTCTAAATCTTTTTGCATGATTGTAACAACGACTCGATAAAAACTTGTTCTTATTGCGTAGTCATCAATGTGAAATTAGGTATTTCTTTGTTGTAAATCAACGAAACGGTGAACTTTTTGATGGAAACTCATTTATCTGCACCTGGGAACATGGGATGTAAATCGAAGTTCCAGCTTTATAGTCTTTCATTTTGGAGTTTATTCAACTTGTTTCTGGGACGTGTCACGCTGTCCCTCTTCCTCTCTCTTGCAAAGCAACCAAAGGAATTGCAATCTCGTAAGAGTCTACTTTTATTTATTTGAAGGTGCCTCGCTGTCGGTCGTATTGCCCTATGCTATTTGTTATTTTACCATGCTTTTCGCCGTCTGGTATTTCTTGATGGCTGAAATGCTAAGCGACATGGGAAGTTATAAACTTTACTGCGGCACAGCTAAGTGTTAATTCAGGCGGGGGAGGATGCATCGTTTTTCGCTCGTGTCCTTATTTGAATTTAAAGTCGACGGACGAGTCTCAGCACCCTTCGTCAATGGTTTCTTGTCATTTTTATTGCGGCTCAAGTAAAGGCGGTGGTAGACACGACGCTCATCTGTCTGCAGCCCAAAGTATGCCGACTTTCATACAGTTCCCAACAAGAATCTCAGCAAAACACGGTCAAGCTTGGCAGTATTTTGCGTGTACAAACAAGAATTGGTCCCATTGTTAATCTTACTGTAAGTCACAATGCTTGTGAAGGGCTATAATCCCACAATAACACGTGCACATCGTTTTAGTCGGTCGTGAAAAGCAACACCAAAACACTCGTAAGTTTCCTCACTTGTACGATTTTGCTCGGTTTGCTCCTGCTACTGCTGCTACCACTGCTGCTGCTCCTGTCACTAAGACAAAAGGATTGAGGGAGTAGTGCATGTTTTGTCTACTCTCAGCATGATTTATTTTACCATGACCCAAGTTTGTTCCTTCCTGGTCATTTTTATGCTAGAATTCATAGACGTTCTTCTGCCTCCAAGTAAATGATATGCTAAGCACTCATTGCCTGTGGTGGGCTTGTGCCTTTTTCTCACATGCATTGAATGGGAACCTGCTTTCTTGAACGTCCACGTTTTGGTTTTCATTTTTAGTTCTTCCCTGTTACACCTCTTAGGGGAAATGTGTAAATTGCGAGAGTATATGTGGTTTTACGCTTTGTAGTTTGAAGTGGATTTAATATGCCCTCTGGTACTTTAACTCAAGAAGATCAACGATCACACCTCGGATGTTTTGTTGCTTAAGTGTAGCAACAAAATTCCCATCACAGGAACCATCCAATGACACTACTCATGAGAAATGAGCAAGTTGTTCTCAAATTAGGAACATCCCAAGGGCATTACTTTTAGCTTCGACAAAACTGTTTGAATAAGAATTTAAGACGCCTACTTATCATAGAAATGTCGTGCATTTGTATCGCTGAGCTTAGCTGCTCATACGTGACGCTGGCGATGAGAGCGTCGAAATTTGATGCTTTATATTGCAGCCCTCGGTTGTAGAATCCATGGCAGCATTTGGCAGAGTGAAGAGAACTGTTCAACTCTTTATTCTGGATTTTAATCCTCCACTTTCTGGACCACATTAGAGAGGGCACGTGTTGACTCCTGTCAGTAGGAAGCTAGTGGTTCCACTTTATCATTTCGGTAATGTTGATCTAGCTTCGGACAGGGTATTTTCATTAATGGACGACAACAGAACTGTAGCTTCTGTAATTCCCTTAAGCTATTTCACCTTCGCGAAACTTGTTACCCGCTCTTGCGTTTCTTCTAGTGATTCGGGAGGAACGGACGAGCAAACTTTGTCTTAATTCTTCTTGGTGATGTGCGTATGAGTCACTAGAATGTTTTTATTACGCGATTGGACGATGTACAACAATTCATCATTGCTGAAGCCAGGAGTTGTTCCGAGTTTTGTCATCTTCTATTCGATCTAAACTAGCTTTCGCAATTTTGTCAACTATTCACTCCCACCCCTGACCCAGAAACCTTTCAATTTCTAGGCTTCCCTTGTGTGTTTACTTCTCTTCTGTCCTACTGCTTGATATGCAAGCAAGAGGATCTTCTTACTTTATCACCGGCGCTTGCTCATATTTAAGTCATATTTTACAACCAAAATGACGACGGTTTTGTTATACTGAACGGCTAAGTAATTCTCACTTTCTTTTCCCCTTCCTCCTCTGATGAGGTAGAAAATCTGTCAGACAAAGCGGCACTTTATCAGCAAGTCGAATAGATGTAATAGTTAGAAAAACTGTTAAACGCAAGAATACTTTTCAAAAGTCTTTGTGCTTGGTACCTTGAAAGGGACAGCAGGAAGCAACACTGACCCGTGATTCTGTATAATTTTTTTTCCAAGTACATTCATCACTGATCTCTTGGGTAGTCAATTCCGCGTAGATGGCTTCGCAGTGCTCGAAAATACAATCGATTATGCGTGTAACAGTTATGCACCGGGTTTAGTGGTTAGAATCGGCAAAATCCCAGTCTGTTAGTAAGGCTCTGCGGGAAACATATCGCAGACTTGTGACTTCGAGTAGGACTTTCACATATGGGACGATCGCTATCATTGTCAATGCTGGGTATTCTGAGATTTCACGGTCTATTCCATGACTCAAGGCTTTTTGTATGCTTCTAGACGTCTTCACGATTCAAGTTCTATACGTGTAAGTTTTGATAGTTTCAGAACTACCGTTTAAGATCGAATTAGGTAGAATACCTTTTCTAAAGTTCTCTTCCAGGATTACTTTGGCCTAATGCGTTGTCCGTATAATCCATCAAATTCGAACGGTTCCAAAATTTGTGTAACAGAATGGTAGGTTGGT